ATTGAAGATGCTTGGAAACAAATCAGAGGAGGACTTGGAGAAATTCCAATTTTAGCTTCTGAACAGGTAAAATGATTTTTTAATAATTGATAGATTAGAAAAATTATATAAATATTTATATAATAATTTAAAAAAGTTTGATAATAGCGTTTACTTGAAGAAGTGGAAAAAGATGAAAAGGGGGACGATGCTAATATTTCAGAAAGCAAAACATCCACTATCAATAATTCATCACGTCGCGTTCTTGCTGACGGGACTTATGCTACTGAAACTATATTTTCATCAAACTCGTCAAATTTAGCAAGACTTGAGGCACTAAAATCAGCAACAAAACCTCCAATTAGAGGTAAATAACATTTATAAATAAATATTATTAAATATTATTAAAAAAATATTTATATAATTGCTATTACGATTATGATTATTAGCATTATTACTTGGAGGTGATTTCTTCCTTGGATCTGTATTAGCTTCAACATTAACAAAATTAGTTATGCGATATTCTGAAAATTCAAATGACCAAAAAAAAATAAATTCCTTGAGAGCCGAGGTAAATATTAATAACTATTGTATCATTTAAGAAATCATATTTATTTATTTGTGGATGATTTTCTTTAGGCGATGCTTATAATGGCTAGTGTTATTCGTGTTGGACAATCTCAATTTGTAACAAATCCAATTGATGAAGACTCTTATGATCGAATACTGTCTTGTTTACATGTTTTAGAACAATTTTCAAATGATTTAGCCATTAAAAATATATTTTTACAAGATACAAAAGCATCATTTACGAGAATTGTGGAGGCAGAAGAAGTAAATTGAAATAAAAGATTAGTTGGTTTAAATATAATGATAATTTCGAAATTCTGACCTTTTCATTTTTTATTTTATTAATTAGAAACGATCAGCTGCTAAAAAAGCAAAAGATAAAGTTACTAATAAAATCCAGGTAGATGAGCTCATCACATTTAGGCAATTTTCCAAACGTAATCTTGGTGAAGAAACTGATGAAGTAAGTTTTCAATATAAAAAAATCATGTATAAATAATAATATCATCATTATTATAAATTCACACACACACACACACACATATATATCTTACTGTTATAAAGAATAAATCAACAACTACAAAAAAAGATGTGGATGAAGAAGAATCTGGTGACATTGAAGTTACAGAACTTGCTAAACAATTTGCAGAAATAAAAGATTATAAAATGAGTTATGAGTTTATAACCAAACATCCAGAAGTTGTTTCACAGGAAATGACTGATCAAATTTTGGCTGAAGCGTTCCAAGCTCAATTAAAAGGAAAAGCCAAATTAGCTAAACAATGTGCACATCAAGGATGGTTATTACAATATTGCCAAAGATTGGGCAAAGATGGCGTTAGACTTTTCTTTGAAAGGTATACTTTAATAATTCCAAGATTTTTTTTGATTTTGACCCATTAATTTTTATAAATATATTTGTGTGTATTTGTGTAGAATAAATGGACCAAATCCTCAAGCACGTGAAATTTTTATGAATGATGTTAATGAAACATACAACCATATAAGGGAACGTTGTAAAATTATAGCAGCAGAGAAAACACAAAAACCACAACCATCCTCTCGTCAAGCAGAACAAATTCAAATTGAAGTTACTGGACCAAATTCTTCACTTAATGTTCGAGTTCCTGATGAAAACTCAACCGATAAGAATGAACAAGACAAATATAAAATTTTCACAACACTACCAAAAAATCTTCAAGAAGCACTTAAAACAGGCGAAATAACCAAGATTAATGAAGTCTTAGGAGAAATGTCGGTTGAAGAAGCAGAAGATGCTTTGAAAATATGTGGTGATGCTGATGTTTTATCGATTGAAGAAGGAATTATTGATACTACTAAAGGTGAAGTTGTACCAAATCAAGAAATTACTGCTGACAATGAAAATGATAATGACAAGAAATTAGGATAACAAATACGAATGATGATCGATGATGAATTAAAAAATATATTTATTAGATACCAATATTTTTAAAAATAATTTTATTAGTATTTATATGTATAATATATGATCAAATAAAGCTATTTTTTTTTGAAAATTTTGCTTGTTTCAAAAAGACAACGCAATTATTAGATAATTTCTATTTCTTGATATTCTTGCAGGAATTGCATCAGCTTTCCAAGTAGGTTTTTCTTTAATGCATATATACATGATTGATCATTATATGTTGTAATAATAATATTGTTCTTCACTTGTATCATTTTTGACTGGAATATTCTTCTATATTAACTTTTCTGATCTTTTTATTCAACACCTTTCAATATTTAATGAGTTGATTATATAAATAAATCATTTAGATGTTGCGATATATTTTTTAGTTGATACTAAAGGAAAATTTCCAAATTTTTCGAAAGTAAGCCTTTCTGTCTTTTCATCATCTACCTTAAGGAAAAGAAAAAATCAATTAACAATATTAATATTTATAATAATAATGATTGAATTGAATTTTAAATGCACCAATTTATGCGGAATACTTGGAGCATATTTGTTACATCATTTATTATAGTTGGCTCTAAGACTAGGTGTAAGGGTAGTTGTAAGCATTTTTGTTTGTAGTCAAATAATTGATCATTTTGGTTTGATCAATGTCACTGAAAGAAAATTTACATGGAAAAGAATTTAGGTTATTTAGGTTTAATAGTATGTGTTTTTGTTATAACATTTTGTTAAAGTAATAAAAATGGTGTTTTTATTTACAAATTCGACGAAAATAAAAAAGAATGATTCTTTCATCACAAAAATTTATCCCACACCATTGCTGGTGAAATATTTTCATCTATAATTAACATGCAAGCCAGCAATTGGCAGTGTAAATTGAACGTAATTTCGCATCCATACAGTAATACTGTGCCTCCAAAATAAAATTGACGAGAAATTTTCTTGTAATTTTTAAAAAAAAATCAACGTGAATCGATTATTCTAGTTAAAAGCTATCAAACCATGTTGAATAATTTCAGTGTAACAAGAGTCATGTCAAGTCAAAGTTTTGATGTTGTACTGTTTATTTTCAACTTTTCTTTACATTCCGGCAAAACCTGATCAAGTCGATCAAGTGGATTTCAATAAGTTGTATTAGAAACGAAAATTTAACTAACTATGGCATTACAGACACAGCAATAATCATTTATTAAGGGGTATAATTATATAATAATTAAAAGTATTTATAGATATATAATTGATTACATACTATTTTTATAAAGTATATACAGTCACTGGAAAAAAGTATCGCTTCACCTAATGATCGGTGAAAATAATTGAATAATTCCGGTGATATAAAAAGTCATTATTTTACTAATCAAGTCGATGTTGTGTAATAACAAAAAAATCTTTTTCATAACGAATTCTATAACATACTCAAGTTCCACAAGATTCAATTAATTATTGGTAATTTTATAATCTTTAAAAGACAAAAAAAAAATTTCTGGAAATTTTCCAAAAAACTTTAGATTAGAGCCAACTTTAGATGTCATGTTTTAACACATTTTGGGAGCTTAGTAAATGTTGTTTCTTTTGTCTTCAAACGTATAATTATAAAGCTTCACAATTAATTGTCAAATACTGGTCAAGAATCGAATTGAAACGTAAAAATGACTAAAAAAAATAAATGTGTTACATTTAAAATTTTTTTTTCACAAAATATTGTTATTCGTTTTAACGTTTTTTTAACTCTTATTTTTTAATCAACAACACAATGACTCTTACAGAAACAAATACACAGAATACTGAAAACACTGAATTAACTGACTTTGAAAGAGGAAGAATAATTGGTCATTGGGAAGCTGGTCAAACAACTCGAGAAATAGCAAATGCCATTGGTTGTACTCAAACACAAGTACAGCATGCAATAAAAGCATATCGCGAAAAAGATCAAATTACTGTTTTATCTAGAAGTGGAAGACCAAAAAGTTTAATGGATCGAGACTCTAGGACTTTAAAAAGAATTGACATAAAAAATCGTTTTACTCCTGCTAGAGAGATAACTAACATATTAAATGAAATCACAGACAATCCTATTTGTGATCGAACAGTTCATAGCTATCTCCATGGAGAAGGATATTATAGTCGAGCTGCATTGAGAAAACCCTTTGTTTCTGAAGTTAATCGAAAAA